ATCTCCGCTTCTACTGGGAATTGAGAGTGGAAATTTATGGTAAGATTAGGGTTGGTATAGGACTACATTGTGGCAAGAGCGCGTTCCTGTATCTTGAACCGTTTAGGAGATATAGTAAGTTAAAATGTTTAACTTGTGATGTTAATATCTCCGTTTCTACTGTGAATTGAAAGTCGAGCTTTATGGTCAAAGTAGGGTTGATATAGAACTATATTGCAAAAGAGCGTTCCTGTATCTTGAGACCTTTAGGAGATATCGAAGGTTAAATATGCTATCGATGAGGTTCGCTTATAACTTCCATTTATCTCAAGAGCGCTTCTCGGGAACATTCCGTTCGAAAGGTTAGTCCGCGATAAAAAGTTTCTTGCGATCTGAGGCCGCTGTTGTTTAAAGTTAAATTGCAGCAACAGTATTGTTATCGGTCAACCCTGAGACCGGCTGCTAACATCCATTTGTGACGTCTGCCGCGCCTTTGCGATTACCGATAAATTCAGTTTTCTTGATTGCTCGCGCGATTTCAAGTGGCCATAATATATGGCGAGAATACATGGCAATATATGGGAATAATATATGGTAATAATATACGGCAACAATATATGGCAACAATATATGGCAACAATATATGGCAACAATATGTGGCAACAATATATGGCAATAATATAGGACAATAATTCATGGAATATATTTTTCGTTACAAGAGTCAATGCAAATTTGCGGCATGCACAATGTAATAATAAAAGTAATAATAAAGTAATAATAAAAGTTCTTTCTGCGAGCTTTGAGTCAGACACTCACCAATGATGATATTGATGATGTCCTGTTGCATCCAACCAGATCCACCAATGTCCGCCCATGTCCGCTGCCGCTCTCCATGTCGCGCAACATCCATCTTGCAGCTCGTCCCACGGTGATCGCTACACTTTCATCACACTTCCGCGACGCGGTCGATACGCGGTATTAGAACGGCGATATTTACATCAATTAACGAACGTTTTACTCGCCATCGGTGGAAACTTTTTGCGCGCTGCGAAACGGACTCTATAAACTCGATCGGCGAGGAGTAAGAACCGTGTGAAAATTTATTGACTCGTCCAACGGATTTTTACGGTGCTTTTCGCGATTGCGTCTGAAAAGTCGCGAAAATGTGGGATTATCGATATCTACGAGTGAAATATTCGCGACGCGAATGCACGCGAGGAAAGATTAGACAATCAGAAACCGGTCCCCCTTAGGGAGCGCAAAGAGAGAGGAGCGGGGCAAAGTTTTCACGCATTATAGCTCTGTCACGACGAAGCTTACGTTCGCGATACTTTGGCGAAATGAGAATTTAAGTTTTCTTTGTTAGCAACGCGAGTAAAAACGCGTATATTGACAACCGCGGTCGCGATATTCAAAGGCACGCGAGCGAGGATACCTCAAGCTCGGTGTGCGCTGGCGCAATTTCTCCGCGCATTATACGCTACTCGAGACAATAGGGATTGTGATGAATGGACAATATTGCCAAATAATTCTACAGCCTGTTTTGCAAATAAAAGAAAAGTAGCTAACGATATCGGCAGGTATGAATATATTTTATACGGACAATTGAATATTGTCAAATAATTAAATCGTTGAGTAATTCTGCGGCCCGCTTGAAAAATAAAAATAAAGCAGCTGGTGTCGGTGTCGCGTTTGTACATATGAATATTCTCTTATTCAGATGACTAAACATCAAAAGAGAATCATTCAGTATTTTAAATCTTGTATGTAATGCAGGCTATCGATCAAGTAATTCCCTGATTGTTTCGAGCAATGTATTTTATTTAACGTCACAAATACACACATGCAAGTATCTATTTGCAATTCGCATTGACTCGAACGATATTTTTCAGTCCCACATCCGTCATGCAGAATTTTGTTTCTCTTTTCATTTTGACTCACCGAAACGACTTGCAGTCAGAGCCGGCCACGTTCCGCTTCAACTCTGTAACAAAAAATTCACATTTGCTCATCAGATTTGACCAACGAGTGCGGGCGAGTAAAAGAGTAGTTTACCCTCTGCGATCGTAATTCAAGTCGAGCCGGAAATTATATCGCAGCTCTAGATCGCCAAGGGTCAAACAGAGGACTATAGTAAACGTATAAACTTACCTTCAAGCCGACTCTGCTTCGCCCGAACCGGATCCTCCGGTGCGGCATCCGCGTCCACCGGATTGCTGTTGCTTTCCGCAACAACTGAAACAGAAAAATAATTTTCCCGGTTGATAACCTGCGGTAGAGAGAGAATATCTTTGATCGGGACCAATCGAAAATACGGATATATTTTGATACGGAATTCTTATCTTTATATTTTTGTTCCAACATTGAAAATTTAAATGGGACTTGAAGCTTTCAAGAGAGCTGATTTCAACAAGTTTCAAAGACAAAGATCGTAAAGAGTTGAACACAGATGTGTAGGAAACTTGTAAACTTTACCTTCCAGCCGACCCTGCTTTGCCCGAACCGGATCCTCCGGTGCGGCATCCGCGTCCGCCGGACTTGTTTCCCGCAACGTCTGGAACAAAAATTTAGCGTTCTTGGTTGGTAAGCTGCGGTAGAGAAAAAATGGTTGGTCGGGATGAGTGGAGAATATTCGCTACGATTTTTTTTCTTTATTTGACATTGAATGTCTAGATAGGAGCTCTTGAAAGAGCTGACGAAAGAAAATGACAATAAGAAGTGGAGACAACAGTTGTGTGCTCTCGAAAATATTCTTTTACGGACGGACATTTAAATTCAGATCCCGTAACAAGAGTAAACAAACTTGAAAGAAGCGCTGACCGAAAACAAAAAAGGTCGCAGTCTAAGAAGCGATATGACGTTGAATATTCTACACAAGACCAATATTCTCACACAGGAATTGGGAATGATTCAGAATGTTTGATTGAAAACATGATGAATTCGAGATCCATGTCCATGGACCGTTATCCGTCTCTGTTTGGATCAATATCTTTTGTATACAACAACGCAATAAATAGATAGACAGACAGAGATTGACGAGAGTAATTGCAAATTCATAAAGTGATGATTACTAGTCGGATGATGACGGATTGTGAATGCTGAGCACGAAATTCCGACTTCTTATTCCCGGAAAATTCGTCAAACGTACGCTCTCGTTATCGGAGACCTCCCGCATAATAAATGATTCCACATACCTGGAAACGTGACGTATCGCTGCCGGCGTTCCGCTTCTCGACTGCTGAAATCCTCCGGATTTCACTCGCTCACGCTTCTAATGCCGATACTCGCGATTCGACCGTGCAGTTAATGAACGCGATGCCGACGCGATGCCGATTGAGTATCTCGAGGACCGACGAGATATATTTCTTTTAATTACACGAGACGGAAAGACGAGCGCGTCGCGCACGGTTGCTGTTGATGGAATGAGGTCGAATACACGAGGTGCACGAGTATTATAATACGAAGGGCAAAAAGTGTCGTCGCTCGCGAGCCGATCAACACAATCGGCGCGATATAAACATTGCGGGCCTCGGCGGTGGTTGAAGCAAGAGTGACTTGCTTTTGAGCGTCTCTTCTTTTCTCGAAGATTCCGGAACGACGAGGGGAATGCGAGGAGGTCTTTCAACTGTACGCGACATTGATGCACTCTATTTATTGATTACTGAAAATAAAGAAAATTACTCTGTCAAAATATCGGACATTTGTTAGCTTTATATGAATTAAAGAGGAATGGGTACGATTAGAAAATGTGTTAGCAACTAATTGTACAGAGTGTTAAAGTTGTTGTGACGCCGTTTGCGGAGAATAATTAAGGGTCATGATAGCGTTAAAGAGTGGAATTTCATCCCATGCGAATTTTGTCTCGTTCTTATTAAATGTTAGTCGTGTATAAAATGTATTTAAAAGTATTGTTTCGCATTCACGAGATTTTGTCGTGAATTCTGCTTTGCAGGAATCTCAGATTGAATCGCGGGCCAATACTTTTCAATGCGACGGGGAATAGAATGTGAAAATCTTGTATGCCTCTGAATCCGAAAACAATTAAGAGGAGAAGTGAATACTTTTCAATACGAAAGTTCGTATTTGAAAATTATTGATTGCGATTGAATACAAGGCATATTTGAAATGAATTAAATCCTTATTAATGCGAAGCATTTATCACTGCCATCTCGCATTTAGCGCGGTGAAATTTAATGGGAACTAATACTTTTTAGTCCCTTTCTTCGGATCAGAAAGCAGAATTCAGACGTATTCAAAATGTCAATACTTTTTAATATGTTTCAGTTCGACATTTTATACAGGGAGATTATCCGCTGCGGACAATAACTCTTCTACTTTTCATCTAATATTCAATGATGATAAATAACATTTAATTGCATTCGTTTGGCTTTTTTTATTTCGAAAATAAAAAAATATATACCATGAGATTTTACCCATGACAACATCAACTTTGATGCTTTTTTTAAAAGTTCAAATATTTCGTCGACTCGCGGGATATTTATAATCGGAGTCTCGTCGCGTTAATTAACACGTGCTCCTCCGAGCGGATCGAATGCTCACCGACGGCCACTGTCAGTGCCACGAGCGAATGTCCGGAACGGACGAGATGCTGAATTAAGAAACAGGACGAAGTGAACGGGACACGGGCAACGATACATCATGCGTCTCCATACATGTCAAATTGTTTATTATAGAAGAGACTTTGATACGGCAATATATATTCGAAGATTTAACATTTAATACGTACTTTTGTTTTTCTGCTCCCCCCCCCCGCTCTTTTTAGACCACCGGACATAGTCTGGCATAGAGATGGCAACTGTGGTTGCGGCACGGACATAAACCGCCTGAAAATGGATATAGCATGGACTTCCACCACATGCAGATTTTACCACCGAGACCTGAAAGTGAATGTACTTATCGTAGTTCCTCTCTCAAAATGGATGCAGATGGCGTCCTTTCCCAGTGCGGAAAGTCGGTGTCGCAGAAAATGTCGTGTTGGCCGCTCTCAGGTTTCTCTCTGATTTTACTATCGTAGCGACACTAACCAGAGAGTGACGTTGGAGCGGCAACCCACACGCCCAGAGCTATCTATTGAATTGAATTGAATTGAACTATCGTACCGGTGTTGTCTTATTTTTATAATCGCAGTTGCAACAATTGTGTTTTTTCTTAGCAAAAAAGTAATTTACAGTGGAATTGTTACAATGTTTCATAGAGTAAGTAATACTATTTTAATTAAACGCAAACAGTACGTGAAATCATTTTAAATTATATATTTTGTTTTATTTTTAGGTTATGTTAGGAACGCGCAATCATATCAGCCGATTAAACAATGTGCGTTTCTTTTCTTTAGACAGAAACGAGGCCACAAAAATAGAAAAGTGTAATTATATTATTATATAATTATTTGTGTGTGGGTGTGTTTGTGTATGTATATATTCATACGAGACGTTATGAGCTATATAATTATATATTTCTGTGTGTGTATGTGTGTATGTATGTGTACAAGTATAAAGACAATTGTTAAGTAATTTTTGCATCAGTATGCAAAATATAAAAATTACTATTTAGTATAATTCATTTTAACATAAAATATTCTTTATGTACTGATTGTAGCTGTAAACAGTGTAACTTTATTAGGAAGAGTTGGGGCAGATCCACAGAAACGTGGAACCACTGAGCATCCAGTTGTGATATTTTCTCTTGCAACACATACAAACTATAAGTATGAAACAGGTCTGTAATTGATATAATCCATAGGTTTAAAAAACAAGTAATAATATACATAAGTTGATTATCTTATAGTCTATTAATCTACAGGTGATTTCATGCAAAAAACAGATTGGCATAAAGTATGTGTCTTTAAGCCTAATCTAAGGGATGCTGTATATAATTTTTTGAAAAAGGGTCAGCGAGTAATGGTAAATGGTAGAATCAGTTATAGCGAATTTAAAGATGAAGAAGGGAATTCTCGTCCTAGTACAGCTGTCATAGCAGATGATGTAATATTTTTCCAGTAAGACACATCTGTACTTATGTGATCTATTTTTTCAATAAAATTTTAAACTGTTTTTTAACTTATGATATATACATTATATTTCTGTAATAGATAATAAAATGGTTCTCATTTGATGTAGCTAAATTCAATGAAAAGTCTGCAATGATCTTATTAGATATCAGATGTAAGGAAGTTGGGAGAATTTTGGACTGATATATCTCACAACTCATTTAATAATTTTAAATATTTTGATGGTTATTTTTATAAAAATAGATGTTAATAGGTTATATTCAAGTTAGGATTCGTGAAATAATGGTACAAACATGTTCTTAATAACTAAATAGGTCTATATTTACAACATTCATTACTTCATGTTTTCACCGTAACAAGTTATATAATAAAATCAGCCTAATCTCTAGATCTCTATTTTACACATTTTGCTTTACATATGATGAAACGATATATAAAATTTTCCAACGCTTCCCCGTTTATACATGTGTGTATAAACGGAATAAACGTATACAATACATATATATATATATGTATATATATATATGTATGTATGTGTGTGTGTGTATGTATGTATGTATGTATGTATGTATGTATATACGTATATATACATATATTATGTGTTTATGCATGTGTATATATATATATGGTGTGTATATATACGTATACATGTAAATATATACATATATTTCTTTACTTATTTATATGTGTGTGTATTTAATATTCTTCTTTCACATTTGTGATGTGAAAATTATTTACACGACCGTTAACACAAGAGTCAATAAAAGATGTACATAGATATTCTTATGTTGATAACATTGCGCACTTCTTTAGAAATCGACAAATGTGCGTGCACACTTCATCTGCGTAATACCTACTTAATCGTTAACTTCCCTTTCTTGTGCTATAGAGATCACAGTATACAAGAAGCCAGATATATTTCCATATGTCATTTTCCATATTCATTTGTAAATCACTTTGTAAATCACTGCCTTTCCCTCCTCCCTTTCTCTCTCTTCGTCTTCAGTCACTCTCTCGCATTCACGCTGCTATTCTCTCATACTTTCTCAGTTTTGTATTCTCGAGTGCAAAAATACGATTAGTAATTTGCTTAAAATCTGCAACTTGTTTCCTCGCTTCTTTTTCATTTCACCTCATGCTGTGTTTCGCAGGCAATCACCGGATAAATTCGTGGAATGTAAGCCACAATCGCACCAGCAACAAACATAGAAATTTCGAATATAAATTTTGGTAGTAAAATATATATATTTTTTTCTATAGATAAATTTATATATAACTCTGGCCCCGAATTTCCATAAAATTCTTTCTATTCTTAGAGTAAATGATGTCGTATAAGTTTCGCTCGCGTATTATATTGGTAATTGCGTTATTTACAATTCCTACAACATATATATTCGATTATAGAACGCGTATTTCTAGATATATTTTATATCTAGAATATCTCCATATTATATATTTCTCGTGTATCGCGATACGACACGGTTCCAAAATCGTGATATATCTACGAGTTTTTTTTTGGAACAATCGACTAAATATGCTACATTATACATTCGTTCTCTTAGTAAGCAGCAAATATTCTTGGCACAGATACGTCAAAATATTGAAGAATCGTTTCAGCGTGTATACCAAAAGGAGCTCGAGAAGATCTAATTTGAATATATTCTGCCAAATATACTGCCAAATATATTCAGCCAAATTTACAAGTAATGCGTGATAATTTTCTTTAACTTTCACAAAGAGATCTTATCGAGCTTTTTGTATACCGACATCTTCCTAGAAATATAATTCTTCTGTGATGCATTCAATGAAATCTCAAATCAAGTAAATCCCTCTTTCCCTTTCCTCCCCCTTTCTCCCCCCTCTCTCTATCTCTCTATCTCTATCTAAAGAGAGAATTCTTTGGAATTAATTTTTTTCATGATCACGAATTGCATTTCGTTGAAATAGAGTCACATCACAGAACACTGATAATTTCACTTATCAACACGTACTTAAAATTAAAAACAAAAAAAAAAAGAGGAAAGAACAGAACAAAGGCGCGAAAAGAAAGGAAAGACCTGGTAAAACAGTTTTTCCTCTGGCATTGCATTTTTTGTACATTGAATTATATGATCGGCGTATCCTTAAGTGCACCCAAGTCTTCATACGTGTCTCATTACGTCGTTGTAAAAGCGGAAATGAAAGTGCCCAACAATTCGCGGAGCTGGGTCCATGGTGGGGTAGGAAGGCGGTGACGGGCGGAATATCCGCGAAGATCCAGCTTCATCGAAGCGTCTTATCGTTATCGGCGCGCAAACGACTCAACGCGAATGTGTCCGTGCGTGCGGACGGGCGAATCGTTATCCGATTTGCGCCGCGAGGTGATTGGCAAAACGCGTTTCTCTTCGCGCTTCTTATCACTCTGTTACACATGCCGACGAAAGTGTAAGGATCCTCGTGTATATACGTGTGTACGTGTATTTGTGTATATGCATTTGCATGTGTATATGTGTAGCGCAGCAACTCGGTGGAATTTCCGACAGACAGAGCAGCGGAGGAATTCGATTCCTTGATCTCCCTCGGATATTATCTTTGGAGTGTCGATGTGATTCCGTGAATTTGGACAAATGTATGCTTATTCGTTTCCTTCCGCCTTGACGATTATTATCAGAGAGTCTCGCGGCGTGTAGATAGGGAGGGGATTGTAACAGTTTTCTGTTCGCGTCTCGCACAAACCGTTTTGCTTTTTGCAGGTCCGAATTATTAGCGATTGTGCGTCGATCGATGTTCCGCATAGTTAAAACATTGTAATTTTATTCTCAATTACTGCTTCATTCTTAATGCATCTTTACATTCGTCCTCTCTCATTTAGCATCAGACTGCTCTCTTTCTCTCTCAGTTTCCGTTTTTTCTCCTTTTCCTCTTCCTATCTCTCGCTACCGTATGTGCCCGCGGCTCGGTAGCCTTCTCCGACTATTCCGCGAATCACCCGCCTTTGCGCGGATGACTCCATCTTTTCGCAAACGAACAACCGTCGAAGGTATTCGGTTCCGATGGCTCGGCCCGTTAGTCGGTTGCCAATACGAGACCCTCCTTCATCAAAAGGTCGCCTTGACGCCGAGTCCTACGTCCACGGCGAGTAACGATTACGCACGATCATTGCGTTCCTGTCATCGCTAGGTCCCGCGTCACTTCCTCTCTTCCGGCTCCTGATTGGTCCTAACGAGGTTGTACGTGTGACTTGATCTGTACTTGGCAGGTGGGTCGTGCAGCGGAAGGGGCTGCTCGCTCGACGGCTGGCTCATGCTGGACATCGAGAGATCCGTAGGCATGTCCACTTCCGCCGACTCGATGAAGGCTCCGTCCTCCTCCGGCTCCGGCTCCGATTTTATTCGCGCATGTTGACGTAGCGCCGATATGTTCTTGATGTTCTTCAATTCGACGGTGTTGCGTAAGAATCTGTAGAGAGTAAAGGTGGCTTATATAAATCTCTTTCTTTCTCACTCCCGAGGACGAAATCCCTATACATGTCATTCGACGTCGATGTGTTCTTTAAAAAAAAAATCGTACGGTCATATCGCCAGTGACAGTAATCATGAGTAAATATAATGTCACCAATGGAAATTGAACGAATCAACGCGTCGTTATCGTCGTATAACGGCTCCGTTGTAATTTCTCTCGCACAGCGCGATGGCACACTAATTACTGAAAACGACAACAATACTCACTGGTAACAGTGACGTTCTCCCTGGACTTTTCTAAGTATGTTCACGCGGTAGTAGTAACGAAGAGCTCTGCTCATTTTGTCGTAATTCATAGAGAGATGATTCTTCTGGATGCCCCAGAGCCGCGCGAGGCCCGGTGGATCGACGATCTTGAACACGCCGGTCTCCCGATTCTTCCACGCGATGTAATGCGTGTACCGTTGCGTGGGTTCGTTCAACAACTGCTGAAGGAAGTCCCAGAGTAGTCTGCCGTCTGCAAAGAACAACGGAACGGAGACACTTAGCGATTGGTTTGCTTACAGTGAATTCTCTCATTGAGCGATTGTTGAAGAGCGAAGCACGGCAGGAATGATATCTAAAGGACGCGCGCTCAAGAGACCGGGTGTCTCTTGAGCCGCCGTTGATCCTGCAACTCCTTGGCTACTCAACGCGCTGCGTAAACTTGACCGATATTCATATATACTAACTCGTGTTGGGCTCCGTAGAGTCGCTGGGGAAGAATTCTCTGGCGGTGCTCGCGGTCGACCGGAAGGCACCGGGAGTCAGCGGCATCAGCTGCGGCGGTAACGTCGGGCTCGGCTGATCCTTCACGCTAACCTCGCTGAGTCTCTGCACCGTGAGAGCGGTCGGTGTCGCCGGCGGGCTGCTGTTGCCGCTCACCTGCTGATTGTCCTCGTCCGAGTCGCTCTTGTAGACCTGCGTCTGGTTGCCGTCCGCGTGGCCAGGCGAGCCCGCTTGACTGTCCACGGAGGGCGCCGGCGACAACGTGACCGAGTTGGCCGACATGAGAGAGGCAAGATTCTGGGCGTACGGAGTGTCCGTCCAGGTTGGCGTCGGCGGATGAGAGTGCGGGCTCAGCGGGTACGCGGTCGGCCTGGTCGGCGTGACCGGGCTGTGCGGCATGCATCTTTGCAACTGGCTGAAGTCGCGCACCAGCATGTTGAGCACGTTGTGCAGGACGTCGCCGGCGCTGGGGCATCTGTCCCCGAGGTCGGCCTTCGTCAGCAGGCACAAGGCCTTGCCGTTCATCTGAAAGCCCTCCATGTCGATCGTCGGCAGATCGAATTCCCTCTCGGCCCACTGCAGGAACGCCGCCACATCCTCGCGCGACCACAACCTCGGGTCGGTCGCTGGAAGGCGAGAACAGCGTGCCATTGGTATACACGTATGAACTCATCCGCGCGACTGTGTTCTATTGTGAAGTCTGACGTCGTCTAAGCGTTTCAAGTGGACTCGCGCGCTCGCTCGCCCGTTCGTTCGTTCGTTCGTTCGGCGAAGTCCCATGTGGCTACGTTATTAGCGTCAATACGGATTACGTTAGATACTCTTCGCGAGGAATTAAAGGGCATTATAAGCGTGACAAGTCGCCCGCCTGACTTAGATGACCGTACAAAGTGCGTTCGCATCGCGCGCGAGAAGTTGTGCGACGTCAATTTTCGACTTTCAGCGGCGACGGGTTATTCGTCGAGCAAGACGACCTCTAATCGTCGTCTATGGTCCTTCGCCAACCTTTCCGACGGCACTCGCGTGTACTCTCTACCGTGGAAAACTACGGGGAGATTCAGCGTCGGAGAAGGTAGAATAGAAGATGAAACCGAACTTTTGCCCGGAATATTCATCTAATATTCAATTCGCAAAATGACGCTTAAAACAATGAAGATGTTCTTTGACCTCTTGACACAAACATCGAGTCAGCGCCGCGGGAATAGAAATCTCTTGCATAAGACCGGAAATAACCGCGCGGCGCGACACGCAGGAGTGTACCAATTCGGAACACTCGTACGGAGAAGAGCGCCGTTGATTCCTGATAAGGCTTACCAAGGGTCGTTGGCAAGTGCGTTTTAAAGTCCAAGAGGGAACTGGGCGGCGGGTGCGTGGTGTGCGGGAAGTTTATCGGGGCCCCGTACTGGTGGGCCCGCCAGAGGAAGTCCGTACTGAAAGGCAGCGGTATGTTCGAAGGCAACCGGGAATCCATTCCGGTTATTCCGCCCGCGGCGGAAACCGGTGGTAGCTGTGGTAGCTGAATCGTTGGCACCAATTTCATATCACGCCTCCGTGGCGCCTGGTTTCTGCAAAAGAAAAGACGGGCGATCGGGTTTATTTATTGTCGAGCGGGGCTCGCGCGATTCGCAAGCGATGGCCATCGCGTAAAAATGAGCGCGCGCGCGCGTGTATGTGTGTATGTGTGTATTCCCTTAACATACTTCGCTTTTGTGCTCACGTCGCGCAGCGCTACATAAAACATGAAGTAAATAAACCATGCTATTTTCGGTTCATCGCACGAGACACTAAGCCATTCTGGGAAGCAAGGCCGGATAATGAGGCCGGGAAGCGTTAGACGGATAGGTGTTGGAATAATTAAGAATTCTAATATACCTCTCGTCCGACACGGGCAAAATCAACTGAGGAGAAGTGGACCGAGCGAAGAGCGCGCAACGGTCGACGGAGCCGCGACGAGTGCGAGTAGTTCCCACGAGAATCGTGTACGGAAAATTATCGTAATTGAGGATTGAGTTGTGTGAGAGAGAGAGAGAGAGAGAGAGAGAGAGAGAGAGAGAGAGAGAAAGAGAGAGACTAAATGTCAAGCGCAATAGCGCGCGCGTGTGTGTATGTGTGTGTGTGTGTGTGTGTGTGTGCGGATAACGGATTGAATCTTGGCCGACTGAGCGGAAAGCGAGCGTGACAGATTGTAAGACAGGTCTCTGTCTCCAAAGCGAGCATAAGAAACATCAGGATCCAAACATCGTGCACGGAAGAGCATTAAACATCGGCTAGTCGGTGTGATCGAGAGAACGTAAATATTATTTAACACTTCAGTCCCCCTTCATCCCCCCCCCTCCCCGCTGCCGTCCCGCTTAGGATCCTGATCGTGGATCGCGGTTCCGATCCAGGATCCACGGATTATTCTCGCGACTCCCAGGACTTCGCGAATCTTTGCCGACACCCGAGTCCTCCGATTCGCGCTGTGCGGCGTGATGACGTCATGCACACATCTCTCCCTCGCGTTACCCTTTCATCACGGATTGAAATTACTTAACTCCTGCGGAGCGAGTCGCCGGCGCAACGTTCGCTCGCCGATGTACAATGACGGCGGGATTACAGTTACACGTCGGCTCGCGCGATTTTCTTACACGGCGGATGCGGAGGTCGCGCCCGCGACTTCGAAGGAGAGGAGAGCGTCGCGGCGGCGCGCGTCCGTCCTCTCCCTCGTCTCCGCTGCTCTCCCTCTCCCCCACCCCTCTCTCTCTCTCTCTCGCGACGACCGGTTCGCAGACGTTCATCGACTATTAGCATAGAATGTGGGGGCATAAGAATGAAAGCCGGCAGGAAACGCAGATTTACATAACGTATTTCCATCGACGTCGACGGAGCTATTTCCGTTCCCGAGACTCGCGGAGACCCAACAGGCAGGCTCGGCGAGGCTCCTCCGGCTCGGACAACGTCCAAATTCTCGGCTGTCATTCGCTAAACCGAGTCGCGACCGCGGAGGATCCTGATTGTATACGTGGGGGGGGGGGGTGGGAGGTATGCACCCTGGAACATCCTGGCGTAATCGCGATGGAAAATATTGCAATGGGGAATCCTGCGAATGAAGCATCTCGCCTTGAGCTCTTCCTTGAGGGTACATCTGTCTTCCTAGATATCCTTTTTTCGTTATATTTTTATTTCCTCTTTAATATTTTTATGACTCTTTTTATGATATGAATAAATTGCGCTCGCTTTTGCCTCATTTGCATCCATTTGAGCTTCCCGTTGCGCTTCATCGTGTTTATCGCGGAACACTCAGCGATTGCGTGACGCGTTGTGTCGGTGCGTTGTGACTAAAAAAATAAAAATAAAAAAAACATGTAATCGGGTCGGCGGTAGTATAAAATGCCTGTCGGTAATTATGTTATTTATATGGTAATCATATATTTATAATCCTTGTACTCGATTAGATGTAATTATGCTCACCGGAGTGCTCGCGGATGCGTTTAACATCACATGTTACGTTAATTTCTTACGCGTTGGCCGCGGTATGACATTGTGTTGAGCATTGAGAACGAGTTACGGTTAATGCGTCTCATAGTAAGTACTTATAATTGGAAATTAAGTGCCTGATGTCGCATCATGTACGGTGTAAGCAGCGAATTGCATAAAAATGCGATTATAATTGTTGCTGAATTTTAGATTTACGCGTGCTAGCGAATGTGTATATATAATTCATTATTATCGGTTATTTAGAGAGAGAGAGAGAGAGAGGAGGGAGGGAGGGAGGGAGGGAGAGAGAGAGAGAGAGAGAGAGAGTGTGTATGTGTGTGTTATCGTTTAAATATTTAATTATTTCGCAACGATCTGGCCGAGTGAGACTCGGAAGAAAGAAAAACGTGTAACATACACGTACGAATATTTGCTTCGGTCGATCGCGTTTCAGTGCCACTTGTCGCTACGAATTAACCGCGCGAGTGAAAATCCAAGAAGAAAGACCGCGAATATAAAGGCGATTTAATTAAATCTTCGATAAGAAGCGGCGCGCTGCTTCGAGATCACCCCGGGAATAGAACCGGTTCGCCATTTGGCTCCTTTTCGTGCGCGATTCGCTGAGGTTCCGGCATATTTCCAGCAGAAATTCTTCGTGACACTTTGAAAAATAATCGGAGGAAGCTCAACGGCGGCACAATACGACGCGCTGCTCACTCGGCGAGTGAGAGAGAGAGAGAGAGAGAGAGAGAAAGAGAGAGAGAGAGAGCGAGTGAGAGAGAGAGAGAGAGAGAGAGAGAGAGAGAGAGAGAGAGAGAGAGAGGGAGGGAGAGAGGAAGAGAAAGAGAGAGGAGAGAGAAATGCCCCGAGGGAAGAAGGTAGGAACCTCGGGCATGCGAAGGTCGATGTGCCGTTGTCTCGCACCAGGAAATCCTCGTCTCTTCGGTCTCCTCCCCACTCCCTTAAACGCCGAGTACGCGAGTGGCCTTACTCACAGGTGCTCCTTTCGGCCGGCGATTTTTTGCCGCGAGGCTAATTAAAGCGGCTACTTGAGGCGGCGTCAAAAGAGAAATAGATAGATAGATAGATAGATAGATAGATAGATAGATAGATAGATAGATAGAGAGAGAGAGAGAGAGAGAGAGAGAGAGAGAGAGAGAGAGAGGTCGCCTCCGCGCGTAAATTTACGTCACGTCCTCCTCGTGACATTGGTCTCTCATTTTTCATCGAATACCACGGATGGGATCGAGTATCTCGCGAGTAAGTTCGAAGCCGACCGAGCGATTTCGCGTGCGTCAGCTCTTTATTAGATTTACAGCCGTGCAATTATTCAACGTCGATAGGTCCGGCGCGGCAGAAAATTGCGGAGGAACGCAAGATCCCGCCGAATTCATTTCCGACGATCACGAAGAATCGAGGACGTTATCGAGATTGCGTTAAAATTCCAATTTATCCCCGTTCGAACGAAGGAGAGACGGCCACTTGTGACCGATCAGAATTAGAGAGAGAGAGAGAGAGAGAGAGAGAGAGAGAGAGAGAGAGAGAGGCTATCGCGAGATTTCCATTGCTATGCGAGGCACGCTGCCGAGCCGCCTCGGTAACGAGAAAGGTAACGCAGAGCGAGACACCGGAATCTGCGGTTCCGCGACGTTCTTTTCTTCCGGCAGCGGCGACGTTGATCGCTCGGCGAATCGCGCGCCGCGGAAACGGCGGCAGGAAAAGTCGCGACCGCGACGCCACTCGTGATTCCAGACGCGGCGGAGATCGAAGGACAGGAGAACGCGCCGGAAGTGCGTTCGATCGCGACGAGCGAGGTTTCCGCATCGAGTATTTCTGCGCCTCGTCACGCCATTTGCGATCAGTGGCGTAACCGACTCAGGCTCAGGGAGACCCCGAAGAAAGCCGAGGAGGCTTCGCCGCTCCTTCGCTTTTATCAAATAACCGTTCCGTTCAGCCTGATATTAACGGAAGCGCATGGGAAATCCACTTCTACGCCATAAACATAGAGAAGAACATTTACGAGTATGTATTCGATGCAAAGAGGAAAGAGTGCGATACGAAGAATGTGTGTGAACATAACGTCTATATAAATTTATAATATCCAACAATATCACTCTCTCGAACCGGAAAGCGTAACATCACGGAAAAGCTCAGGAGACGCGAAAAGGCTTCACCACCGTCGCGAATATGTTCACATTGTCGCGATACGTTGCGTGTAGGAATGCAACGATAAATCGATAATATCGATATATGGAGAGACAAATATCGAATATTTATCGATATTCTTTTGTCTCCGACAAAATCGATATATCGATACGAATTTTACTGATATTTCGTATTTTTCAGTCACAGCTCTGGAGGCCTATTACGGTTCTATGACCGAGATGAAAATGTGCAAAAGTGAATGAATTCACTGGAATATATATATATTATGTGATCGGTCGATGTCCAGTAAATTCGCTCATTTTCATTATTTTCAACTCAATCGTTGAACCGTAATAGACCACATGTATGCGGTGATCTCTGGTGGACGATTGCGGTTTATTATATATTTTCTAACAAGAATATGACAATCAATTATATGAAGATAAACATTTTTAAAAGATCTTTTTAAATTTTTCGTATATACCTTTTATATGCATACACTTTTTTATATAAATATCGATATTTTTCAAGATTATCGTTATCGATGGTTCTGAATGACGATGATATCGTTATTTTGAGAAATCGTTGCATCCCTAGTTGCGTGTCACCGTCGCGCCGCCGCCGCCGCCGCTCGGAGTCGTCACATAGGGAAGAAAATGAGCGCGTGATGGCATTGCACGGCCACGCGCGATCGCCGCCACCGCTCGTCGCTTCGGCAGATCGTTGCCGTCCACGTTGCAGGGCCACGTGTTCCGAAGCGTAAGCACGACGCGCCGGCTTGCGAATATTACTGCAGACGCGTCTTGATTCATCCGATTCACGTTCGACGAGAGGGACAGCGAGTCGTTGATGTGAGCGAGCGAATAAACGCCGTAACAATTATGCGAATGTATGCGCTGTCGCTTGCGTTATAATCGCATTTATTTGCGGCGCACCCTGCGACCCCGATACAAAGATGAAAACG